ATATATATATATATATATATAACTAAACGAACTTTATGGTTGTACGGCAGTGAAGCATCAGTGCCAACACTGATGTTGCTGTCATTGATGATGATGATGATGGGGGACAGCACAGGACAGTTCAACATTTTTCGGGTTAACAATAATAAGAGGTATTTTCCATGTTTGCTCCAATACATTCTTGCGATAACCTATCCTGTGTTATAATTTAACTTCTAAGTATAATTAGGAATTCGAAATTTACTTGCTTGTAATGATTCAATTGGCGAGGATTAAAGGCCAGTATGTGGGTTCATTGTATTTGTGTGTCTCATTGAGGTATCTGATAGAGTGTGGAACATCTGAAACACTAATCCAGATAAGACTGAACGTCTCATTGCACACAGAAAACATTAGAAGACCCGGATACAACTGAAATCTGGTGTAGAAATTGTACGGTATATTTCTCAATATTCATATCCCCTTCTAGGAAGCAACCTGAAATGTATCGAAGCTCTTTGACCGAGACAGGACGTGTGTGTAGCTGATATTACTCGTCACGAGAGACTGAACCTAATTATGGTGTAACGGTTTGTGTAACTCCGCGAATCATGGAGCTGTACTGCAAGCTGTCCGCACAAAACTCGCAGTCTCATACCAGGTTGGCCAATGATTAGAGAGCACAGACTCCTGGTCTCCAAGGTTTGGGATTGGAACATGTGTGTTGACTTGTTATGTAAAAATTGAGACGCATTTTCATTTTCCGCCACACGCCGTTGCTTTGCGGTTAGGCTTTCGAGCCAAAGGCTTTGGTGAGGAACCCTAAGCGTGCTCCCCTGTTTAGATGTGGGCGCTCTGACAGTATCCTAGCCCCTGCACAACCATTAAATTTACACATACAGATAAACTGATGCCACATCGACCGTCACGTAGTGCCATCAGCCGGTTCACCCTACTTGCTGCGCACACCAGGGCGAATAAGCGAAAAAAGCTACTGCTGGCGCCCCCATCGTTCCTCTTTCACATGCTTTCCCTTCTTTCCTCTACCCATTTCATTAACAACTTTCTCCTTGTAGGCCCTCCAGGCCCTCCGTGGGTCCGTAATCAGTTTTGCAAGCGACATCTGCGCGTCACCGATCCCGACATCCTGAAGCATCTCGAAGACAACCTTCAAGCCTGGACGCTCAATCTATTTAGCTGCCATCAATGTCCACACTCTGAAACAAGCAGATCACAAAGCTGCTCTTCCTCTCACAGTGGACTCACCCTGGACGCTCTATTTAGCTGCCATCAATGTCCACACTCTGAAGCAAGCAGATTACAAAGCTGCTCTTGCTCTCACAATGGACCCACTTGATTGAGATTTGTGCTGTACATCATAAACAAGATCCAAACACGGTTGTTGAGGTAAC